CTCTCTTGGTAACTTTAGGCTTTTCTCTGCCCCCCTATTTTAAGACGCAGAGGGCAGTGTGCCGAGAGGGACAGCGAGACAGGCTGTTACGGGCGGCGAAACACGCGCGGTGCCGAGGACAGTTTGCAAGATGACACTAGCTGGCTTGTTTACAGCAGAGGGTCGATTTGAGGGGGAAGGGGTGGTGGGGAAGGAGGCAGGCAGGAAAAATAGAGAGGGGGTTTACTACCCTCAAGAGAGTCGGAATTCCTCCTGAGCCATTCCCCCATTTGGCTGGCAGTTGTGAAAACAATTGCCTGGCATTTACTCTCTCTGTGCAGATGGAGTCCCAGCTATGAGTCAGCTTTCAGAGCAGCAAGTGGTGGAGAAAGTGGTTGGCTTGTGATCTACTGCACAGCAAATATAAGCATGCTTTATAAACACGCCTGGTTTTTGATATTGGAGCTGTTTCCTTCTCTACATTCCCAACGTTTAATTTCTCCTTATCACACAGGCTGGTTGACTTATTTAAGCATGTCTCTTTGCTGTTTCTCTACAGCTGATCTCCAGAAGATGGTATGCTGATGTCCTGAGCTGAGGGAGCCTTAACTTCATTCCCCACTCGCCTTTGTTATTCCACACCTGGTCTGCTCTCCATCAGTCACCAACACCAACAGCTACCACCAACACCTTCACATTTTCCCCACCCCCTTTTGTCCAGCCGGTCGTCACCATGACGTCGGAGCTGGAAAGCAGCCTGACCTCCATGGATTGGCTCCCTCAGCTAACCATGCAGGCGGCCATTCGCAAGGCTGATGCCCAGAATGCCCACGGGCCCGGCATGGGAAAGAAGAGCGCCCTGCTCGATCCCAACACCACGCTGGACCAGGAGGAGGTGCAGCAGCACAAGGATGGCAAGCCGCCCTACAGCTACGCCAGCCTTATCACGTTTGCTATCAACAGCTCGCCAAAGAAGAAGATGACACTGAGCGAGATCTACCAGTGGATCTGTGATAACTTTCCCTACTACAGGGAGGCGGGCAGTGGCTGGAAGGTGAGGAAAAAGAAATCTTGACTATTAATTCTATGGAGATGAGGAAATGCAATAATAATTTTGCATTTAGTTGGGCTTTTCATGCTTTGACTGCCATGTTTTATTTGTTTTCTATTTTTTTGAAAAGCAAATGCTAAGGCAAAACGAGCTGTTCAGACCTGTACATTATTACATTTAGAAAAACCACCAAGGTTATCCTTTAACAGACATCTGATATCCAGAATATTGAATATTATCGTTGTTGCTCTTTTAAAATTCATTTGGCTGTGCGTTTGGTTAGATTCTCCTCTGACCTTATGTTTTTGAGATGAGCTGCTGACAACATTCGTCGAAGAAATTCTTTGACTTAAATTGTAGTTTGGTGGGATCTGGATGTCTTAAACAAAGTGAGATTCTGTTGGTAATCACCATTGTCACTTCTGAGAAAGCTTGGAGAGAAACTATGAGTGTGCCAAATCACACTAAGTGCCTCAGTCCTCCGAATGAAAAATGGTGCAGCCCTGAGAGAACCATATGAAGTGTAAAACCCTGGATTAATATTCAGGGAAGTGGCCCCTATCTGTGCGAACACAGACTAAATAGCCCATTCATGGGTGGTATTATTCATTGCAGATGCCTTGATAGGAGAAGGCCATTATGCAGAAGGAGAGAGCCAGTGCTGTGTCATCATCTCAAGGAGCCCATGATATACCGAGATGAAGCTATGCTGATTGCCTTTTAAAGGGCCCAGATGGAAATTGATATTAGAATGAGTTTTCCAATCAGTCGACGTTTATTGGAAATAGAATCTTAGGCACTGCTTTATTGCAGTCAGACAAGATGTATGAAGCCCATTTCCTGGGGCGACAAGATCTGGCATGTGTACAGGCTGCACTGAGGTGTGTGTGTGTGAGGGGGAGATGAGAAAGCATGTGTTATTATAAATGGATTGATTTTAGCTTTTGTGGCAAGGCCCCTTTTGTAAGGAAATGAATTGTTTTATTTTGCAGCCTTTGTTTCCTCTTTTACCTTCATCATCCCTTATTTAGTTGTCAGTAACACAGCAGCATATGTGCCGTCAGACTGCATGTGTTCCTGCATTGAGTTACAGGCATTTTCAGCTCTGCATTTTGTATACCACCTACCTCTGTGTGCAATGAAATGTTAAATTCATTGCCAAATGATTTTTCGCCAGACGCTGGTATAAGGCTAGAGGAGCGTTTTTCACCGCCTTTGTTTTTGGATTGTGAGGAAATCCAGTTGCAGAACATGTTGCAATCATTGGATAGACTGTACCTACTGAGATACTTTAAATGCTGCTTTCTTATTCAGAGCAGCCATGAGTAGATGATAATTTAGGTGGGTTGTAGTGGACTTGGTGAACTCCTACATTTCCACAGACTTTACTGCTCAGAAATGTGAGGGTGTGACAGACTAGCCCAACTAAAATAACTGTAGATAAGACATAGCATGTAGTTGACACTTATCCCAAGCACTGTGAATACACACACTTTTTATACATTTTAGAGTGGGTGGCCTCAGTGGGAATCAAACTGATGCTGCTGGCAGGGTTGACGCTTTGGTCTTCCCACTGAGTTACAGTTCCACTGTAGTTGCAGCAGAAAAGAAGAAATTATATTAAATTACCCAAGTGTTTTGCTGCTAATGTGTCTTTTGGTTCTTATGTTGTGAAGCGTGGCTTTTTCCAACAGTCAGTAAGAACAGGACGTTATGTAAACTTGTTGCAAAAAGCCTACACTCTAAATAAGTAGAAGTAGCATTAAGGATGTGTATGTGGCTTCATTTGTAGCTGATACCAATGTTTAATTTATTTCAAAACTTCAAACTGTGTATCATATTAATGGTTTAGATGAGGGGTATAGTGGAAACTTGTAATGACGCTGTCGTGATATGCTGTCTGCTATGATGATGCTTATCATGATGCAGACACTTTGCAATACAGTACAAGGCAAGCACCCACCATTGCTTTAATTTTTAAAGAAAAAATATCCCTACATGTGGTCTTTAGGTGTTTATTTGTTGCAGCGTGGTGTCAGCATGTGTATTGTTATTATCTAATCACACTAATCTGGCAACAAATATGATTAACTCTGATTTGGTTTCACCAGTGGTCAAAAATTACACCCCTCTGATTTTCATCTTCTTCTCTTCAAGTTGGGTGTTTTTGCCTTCACTTTACCCTCATTCATTTCATAACTGCTGCCATAAACAGTCATAGAGTAGTGACCCTGCTTAAATAATTTGAAGATCTGTTTAATGCATTTTCTATTAAAATGTAATGAATTGGCATCAGTGTATTGATAACTATTTTTTTCCCACGAATTGTATAAACATTTTTTTTTTTAAAGGGTACAAATTCAACATGCCAAACGGAAGATTTATACTAATGTGTTAAATCTACATCTTGGGTATATCTTAACCTCAAATCCCTCTGAAACTGTACGCTCTAACCCAACTAGCACCTCCTTGTAAAAGGAACCACAATTCACTATTCAGATTGGCCTTTTCAAGACTGTTGATGCCTTCTGTGCATTTCTGGCTACTTTTCTGTTGCAAAATTTGAATTTGTCAGTGAGAGAATAACCATCATCACCTCAGTATAAGAAATAATAATCATAGCCTCAATATAAGGACTCATAGATTTCAGCAAATTCCTGGAGGGAGATTGACAACACCATCAGAATGGATGTGAGAGAATGTACAAAGAAGTGGACAATTATGCTTACCTCCAAGGAGGGAAAAAATGGACCGCAACAAAGAGTTAGGGACCCAGGAGGGGGAAAAAAGCCCCAGCATTTAATTTCTATCGTGGCTAGCTCTGCATATAAAGCACCAGGAGACAACCCCAAGTCGATTAAAATATAAAACACTGTGCAAAAGTATGAATGCTGGTAACAGTGCCGGATGCTTAAGTGGGTTACGTTGTAAGCTCTACAAAGATTCACCACAGAAATCTAAATCATAACGCTAGAGTCACACTAGGACAAACGGTGGTTGGAGACTGCAGCAAACCTAAAAATACTGCAACCGTGTGCAATGCGATCTCATTCCCTTTGAAATGGTTGCTTTCAAGATGGGAACCTGGTCTTGCAGTCAGTTGCAGTCTTTAAAACGACTTCAATGCCTCAAGATGCAAACAAACGGTAATAAGACAGAGTCATCTGTAATCGGTCTATTGCCAGTTTTTGATTGAATGTAGTAAAGATGGCAATCATATGCAGTTTAACCATCTTGCAAGTCTGTTGTATACACACAGCCTGTTGCTTGCATTCAGAGTTGAGCCAGTACCTCATAGAGAAATTCAGAAACAGTAATTGCAGTCGATATGAGTAAGACCACAATTGTTTGGAGACCAGTTGCCAGGCAGCAGGCAACCAGTGCAATCACTATGTAATCCAAAATGGTTGCCTAGATGATGAGTGTGTTGCTCAGTTAAGGACAGCTAGTCGGTTGTCGCAACTACTTGCAGTTAGTCGCATAATGTGAAAACAATTCAAACCCTGTACGCTAAGGTTAACATTTTATTTTTACTCCAATGTGACTGAGCGATAACACGCAGCTGATCTGATGCAACAGTGTTTCTGGACTTTTGTTTTTTCTTGCTGCAAGTAGGGATGGGTACCGGTATCGGTTCTGACATAAACGGTAGTAACCAGACCGAAAAGCAGCGCACATTTTGGTGCTTTATTTCAGTGCTTTTTTTCCTGAGA